CCCTTCACTCACCTGCTTTTTGTATTTTTGAACCCCCAGGTTGTAAAGAAATGGAAGTGGCCGGAATTGCAGGGGAATCCGTCCAGTTACAGCCAGTGAAATTGCCGGAGCCTTGGACAGAAATGACCTGGGAGGTTACACTAGACTCAGCAGAGACGTATTGGATTGTAACATTTAATGAAGGGGAACCCCCTGACCTTGGGTCATCCCCACATTTTATCAACAGAGTCACTTTCCACCCTGAGAATCTCTCACTGCAGATTGATCCCGTTAAGAAGTCAGACAGTGGCCTCTATACCTTGATAATTGACACTGGAGGAGGCCGTGAAAACCGCACAAAGTTCCGTGTCTCTGTGTTTGGTGAGTAGCAAAGATCACGTTTTTCCCTAGTGTGTGTCACTGACGGCAGCTGCCTTCCTAAGCCTCTCTCACCAGGATCTCTCCTTTCAGACCGAGTCCGGCAGCCAAACATCATGGTGCTCCCTGCCCACGCGGAGCTCGGCCAGTGCAACGTTACCCTGTCCTGCTCGGTGCCTGGCGCTGACAGAGTCACCTACGGCTGGTCCCGAGGCACGTCCCAGATACCGTCTGACCGGGACCATCAGCTCCCTGGGCACCAATCCCTGCTGCACGTAGTGATTAATGCAAACAGCAGTGACGTCTTCTACCGATGTAACGCTAGTAACCGAGCCAGCTGGGCTGCAGCCACTGTAGATGGCAAATCATTGTGCGACTCCCCAGCCACAGGTAAATAGTCCTCAGTATAAGCAAAAGGGAGCCTGATTGCCATTAACACTGGGGCCACTTTGCCTCCTCTAGCAGCATAAGAGGGCCTTACAGTGGCAGTCCGTTCTGTGCCCACTTGTTATGTATTTGTTAATATATTTGTCAGTCATATTTTTGCCTGAGTGAAGTAGGAGGAAGAGGCTCTGGATTCAGCCTGTAGATTTCTGCATTCGTCAGAGCTAGAATTTACCCCAGGGTCTGACACAGCCCGTGATGGGGTCTCCTGCTTCCAGTGAGATCCTGTTTCAACTGAGGAAACTTACGATTCCTTCTCAGCTCCCAGCTCAGGCTCAGAGGAAGGCTGGTTCAGTGGTTAGCGTCCTGGGCTTTGGGAGACCTGCGTTGGCTTCCCTGCTCTTACTCGCTATGTTCTCCTGGGCAAGTCCCTTGGGCCCAGATCCTCAAAGCTATTTAGGCCGCTAACTCCCACTGGATG